TGGACACTGTTTCTTCCAGAAACGCTCCCTGAAAGGAACTTGTGGGCCTTTCACTCCTATAAGTCCTCAACAGGCCTTATAGAAAGGCCAGAAGAAGCAAGCCGTTTCTTATGCAGCCCAGTGATAGCGGTTCAACAAAGCAGAGATTTAATTTTCATTTGGAATTAATGTGGTCCACGTTTGGAGCCTTTTGGGAATTTGACTTATATTGGAGATAGTTAGAACATTTGGAACAGGAAAGACTGTTCAGGTGGGGAGACAATACGGATCTGTGCCTTTTCACTTTAGTTGCACAGTATGTGCTGTCAAATGATCTTTTTACGTGTCTTTAGCTGCTGGTTTCATCCTACCTTCACTGTTAACGAGCGATGTGTTGAATGCTTGCTTTTTGCCGGACACCAAGCTTTACATACTTTCTCATTTAGCCCTTGTAGTGTAGAGCAGTTATTAATATTGTTTACAGCTGAAGAAGGAAAGGCTTAGGTTAAATCTGTCTCAAATCACACAGTGAGTAAGCGGTGGAGCCACCATTTAAACTCAAACCAGTTGGACGTCACAGGCCTGCATGTTATGCACTATTCCATATTGATTTTATTCAATGGTTCTTTAAGCCCCCATACACTGTTGTAATCTATTTTATGGAGAAGAATCAGGTCATTAGATGTGCTTTCCCTCAAATTTCTGCTTCTGGTTTTGCTCTTACGAAGTAATCTAGATTTACACTTATCTTTACCTTAAGTCTCAGAGGATGAGCTGTATTCTCTGATCAAAGTAAATACCTTTATCTTTGCTTCTAACTTTTCTTTTATACTTCCACCAATGAGAGCTTGTTTTCATTTGTCTTTCCTGCCCCTGTCTACATCTCAGTCATGTATAAATAAGGTCACGTTTCTCATGTTCCTGACCATCCTTCACCCTCCCTCCCATCCCCAAATCAGAAAGAAAGAATAAGTTCTTGGTGATCAATCTTCCTTTAGCTGTCATCCAGTAACTGTTCCCTTCTTAGCCAAACTGTTTTAGAGAGTATTCTAAATTCTGTCTCCATTTTCTAACTTCCCATTCCCTTCTACAGTTTAGCTTTCAGACCTATCATTCCCCTGAAATTCCCCTAAGGTCACCAGTTATTGATTATCAAACCAGATAGACATTTTAAAAATCATTGCTGGATCCCTTTGCTGCTTTTGAAATTCGATGATACCTCTCACTCCCTTCTTTCCTTTCCTTTCCAGAATAACACACTCAGCTGATTTATTCAATGAACATTTATTGTGATAACACAGATAAACAAGACAAAGTACCCTCCTTATGGAGCTTACATTTTAGCTGTTTCTCCATGTGCTACTCTCACCAGTCATTTCTTCTGTGGATAGTCTTTTTCTTCCTCTCCTAAATAATTGTATGTTTCCAAGGCTTGTGACTTTGGCCTATGATCTTTTCATTTTGTGTACATTGCCTGAATGAGCACATCACCTGGCTTGGTTTTAACCTCCTACATGCTCTCACATAGAAGTTGTCAGCTTAGACCTCTTTTCTGAGTTTCACCCTTACCTCTGACTACCCTGCTGGACAACTCTGCAAGTCCCACAGGCAGTTTAAATTCAGAGGCCAAAAACTGAACTCAGCATCTTCCCTGAACTTACTCTTATCACATCCATCACTAAGTCCTAGTGATTTTACTCTCTAAATGTTTCTCAAATCTGTACTCTCTTCTTTGTTTCTGCTATTGTCCTACTTTAGACCTCATCATCTCTCACTTGAAATATGATGGCCTTCTAACTGATTTTCCCACCTCTAGTCTTGTTCCTACATATCTGTTCTCCACACTACCTACCTCCTTCCCCAAATGATCTTTGAAAACAAATCTGTATCAAAGTCCTGCTTAATAATCTTTAAAGAGCTATTTGTTCATTCATTTGCTCTTTTCTCTCATTCAGCAAATATATATTGTTTACTGAATTGCAAAATCCATAGGAACTTCTAAAATTTGAGCTTCTCAGTTGTCTCCCAGGGCTCTGCTTCAGCTGGACCTGCTTGCATCTCCAGTCTCTTTACTGCCTCATATTTTAGGTTGCCCCAACACTGAACTGCTTCTTCATGTGTATTGTATTGTCTCTTGGTGTTCCTTTTGACTGGAATCTCCTCTCTGATTCCTTTATCTACTTTCTGCTTCTCACCAAATTAGGCTGCCCCCTTTCACCTAATTAACCTGGTTTATAATATAAGACTCATTTTAGGCCTACCTAATATGAGAAACGTTCCTTGACACTTCCTTTCTCCAAATCTGTTGTATACTCCGCCTTTGTGCTCCCATGATACCTTTTGCACAGACCAGTCATTATACTTACCACATTTGTTATAATTGTCTTTGTGTTTCTTCCACAAGATTGAGCCTTTTGAAGGCAGGTGTGATGTATCATACAATACAAGTGAGATGTATCTCTTGATTCCCAGCACTGGAATGGCACCAGGTACATAGTGGGCATGCAATAATTCTGACTGAATGATCAAATGAGCGAAGACAAAGGTATATGGTGCAGTGATTAAGAACCTGTTCTTTGGAATTAATTCAAATCCTAGCTCTGGCACATATCGATTGTGTGACTTGAACACATTACTTATCTTCTCTGAGCCTTAAATTTTCTCTTGGAATGAGAGTTGTTGTGAAGTTTAAATCGGATGATATAAATAAAACATTTAGCAAGTGCCTAGCACATAGTATACCCTTGATAAAGGTATGCTGAACACCAGGAGATATAGAAGTGTAAGACCAGGCCTAACCCAGGGCAGTGATCTCCATAGACCCTAGAATTTCTTTTTTAGTTTCCTGAATGGATGGGCAGTGATGCAGTCTGTTTACAAGGAGATTTTATTTATATCTGGAGAGTAGAATTACATCCACATTTAATTTTTAGAGAAGATAAATTGATTATACCTCGTAACAGGATGTAGAGAACAGAAGACAGCTCAGTGAAGGCCTCAGGGAAGAAGTGAGACTTGAAAGTTGTGAAGGATTTGGGTTTCTAGGAGGAAGGAAAGAATATAAACCAATACGAGGAGATCATATTAAGAATTACTTATTTGAGAGTAGTCTGTCATCACAGACTTATTTCTTGATGCCTAATGAAGATATACTTCTTAGTCCATTATCTGCTCATTCATCAGTTTCCAGTAAGTGCAAACAAGATGCCCATCTGAACACGACATTTAAAAGTGTGACTTGCCTGTAGTACCATCATCATTTGAAGCTCCAGATTTAGGATTTTAGATTTACAACTGACTCTTCATGCTCTGGCATCAGCTCCTTCACAAAGACCTACTGGATTGCCTTTTGGAGCTTACTCTGGCTCACATTATTTTAACAGCCTCCTGACTAATCCTTGACTCTGGATTTCTCCACTTCAGTTTTTTCCTGTTGATTGATTTAAGCTTTTCAGTCCAGTGTTCTTTCAACACTTCTGCCTTTTTTTGGTTAATCTCTAGGGTTGCTCCTCTGGGCCATCAACTAAAGTCTGCTTTCTACCCCTCACCCATGGCTTGTCATTGCTGAAACCTGTGCTGTCACTTGTGCGTTTTAAATGGAATGTCCCTCTCCCCCACTCTTTTTCTTATCATTTCCCTTGGCTCTTGGCCTTTTCAAGTGGGTAGTTTCCGAAACCTTTCCTGACCCAATATCTATGACTTTGCACCCCCTGAGCACTCATATACTCACTTCGCCTTGCATTATGTTGTCTTTACAGTTGGTAATGAAACTCTGATTTTTAAAATCTGGTGTCTTTTCTCTCCCCTTTGGACACAAAGCTTGTGCAGAGGACCTGATAGGTATTGCCTTGCCTACAGGGGACATTTCTTAAAGAGAAGATATTAGAGGCTTGAGCATTGATAAGCTTAGGGAGTCTAGGGAGTCTAGGGAGGCATCTTGAAGCTCTAGTTCTGTCCCTGTCCATAATTCCATGCTTTACCTCCCTGGGTGATCTTATCCTCTCTCTCTGCCTCAGCTTCTATGAGATGTTGATGCCTCTCAAATATATACATTCAGTCCTTTCCTCTTCCTGAGCTTTATACCTGTACACCCAGCTTGACCCTTAGATCCTTCATAGTCAATTTAGTTGTTTCAATCTGAAATCATTCTGTCATCTACTGTTTATGCCCAAAGTAGGTCTCCTTGTATATTCCTCATTTTGGTTAATGGATATTTCCAAATTAGAAATCCAGGTTGGTATCTCCTTTTACTCCTTTGTCATTCCCCAAAAGCAGTCAGTAATTGTGGTTTCTTCTGGCTCTTCTTCCTCTCCATCCCCTTTGTTCTGCCTTTGTTCAATCAGAATTTTTTGTCTCTCTCTTCTGCTGATACTCTACATTGTTTTTCAAAAGAACACCAATATTTCCACTATTGTGCAGGTTGTGTATTGCCCAAAGGTGCTGCATTCAAACTTTAGAAATTGTAGGTTTGTATATTTGTTACGACAATCTTCTGTCAGATGACAGTAAAATGTATTGTTCTAACATCAGTATGTTATGACGAGAAAGGGAAACCTTCTAATACACATAAAGGTGTCTGTGGACTGAGGAACATCCTCTGTTCTTACGTCTTTAGTTCTCTGCCAGGGAACATCTTCATGCTTTAAAACCCGGCATAAATATCCCTTATTCATGCAACCTTTTTTGATACTACCTGAAAGAGTCAGTTATTCTTTTGCCTGTGCTAATGCTATATTTGTTTTTTTTTGTTCTTATAGTGCTTATCACATTACATTTTAATAATTGGTGTATGAGTCTATCTGCCCTGTTGTTCTCCAGGCCTCTAAAGGACAGGGACAGTGTTTAATCATTCTTTGATCCTTGCGTGTAGCCTAATGTCCAGCACATATAGTATATCAATAAACAAAGCAAATATTAGATTGTTTAGCATGATTCAGGCACAGAGGTGAGTACTTCACCTGCATTATCTTACTTAATCCTCACAACAGCCTCATGAGGCCTGTCATTATCACATTTTACAGGATCACATTTTACAGGGGAGGAAATTGAGACGAAGGAGGTGAAGTCACTTGCCTCAAGATGAACAACTGGTAAATGGCATATGTGGTGGTGCCGGGGTGTGACTCTGGAAGACTTGTGCTGGTTTTTCCAGTGACTCTCTTCTGTTTTGTCTCTCAGAGTAATGATGCGGATATGCTGGCTGGTGAGACAGGACAACCGGCACCAGAGAATCAAACTTCCACATTTGGAAGCAGTCATGGTTGGGCGTGGCCCAGAGACCAAGATCACTGACAAGAAATGTTCTCGACAGCAAGGTAACTGATCACTGGAGTGTGGAGAGTACCATGGATGGTTTCTTAGGATAGTGATAACTAAAGGTGCACATTTTTGAGATCCTAATTATGGAAAACCTTTTGTTTGCCATAAAGAAAACTCAGGAACTGAGCTACCTAAGTCAACACCAGGGTCCCATTCACTCTTGACTCTCTGAAAGCAGTTACTGTTTAGTATTGGGAACAGGCAGGTCCCATCCTGTTACTAAGTCCTGCACCCTACTTTGCCTAGAGATGGTCCTCGTTGGGCAATGAGACAGTTGAATTCTGGAGTCACCAGGCTGAAACCATGTGGGGTGGCATCTTTATAAGACTATAGCATCCAGCTCTTGAAATGTCGTTTCTGGGATTTAATGAAATGAAAGTCCTAAGGGAAAAGGCTTACCATGTACCTCATTTTTTACCTGTAAATTTCCAGACACGGTCACTCCTATGAGGCCTCCCACCTGTAGTGTATTCTCTGTAGCAGGATTTCCCAAGGCTTGCAGTCGGCAGCGCTGATAATGGGTTTTTCCACATGAGTTAATCTAAACAGGGGGAAAAAGCCAGGCTTGAACTTGCTGGGCCCAAGATACAGAAGCAGATACTTCTTGCTCTCTGTCCCCCTGGTCACAATAGCAACCGTAGGGACGATATGTCAGCCTGTCCTCTGCCTGTCCTCCCTGAAGAGCAGGTATCTCTTCTGTGTCTCTTCTTTGCTCCCTGTTGTACCCCAGAAACTGTTCACATATCTGAACATGAATGTTTAATGTCACTTCTCCCCACACATGCTCAGACTATTCTGTATGAATAGTTCTCTTTCTAGAATATTCTTATCACTCCTTCTTCCCAAGGCCAGCTGAACTTATATTTTCCAACAATGTATTATTTGTCTCTTTCTCTGTGGAAGACATCTGATAGTGTTATATAATAGTGGAAGCCTGATTTAATTCTGAGCCCAGAGCTTGTGAGAGAAGTGGGTCCCCTTACCTGACTGCAGAATCTGTGATGCCAGGTGGGCCAAGGGCTTTGGAATAGGAGGGCTTGTAGGGATTCAGTAAAGCTGCCTCCTAGGGCTATTAGCAGTAGCCAGAGGAGTATGTATACTGTTGACATTTTATGGAAGGATTTGGAGCCTCAGCCACCTGCGTAATGGGCAGTTTTGCTCATAGGCCTTTGAAGAAACTGTCAAGTTGCATCCCGGGGTGAGGCTTCATCGTTTAACTTTTAAATTTTTAAATCTCTTTCAGTACAATTGAAAGCAGAGTGTGACAAAGGATATGTCAAAGTAAAGCAGGTACGTCTTTTTGTAACTTTCCATTTCATACTTGATGATTTTCTTATGCTGTTGACTTAAGAGTGTCTGTGCCAGCCAGTAAGTCTTCTCTGTCATGTGTGGAAGTGACAGAGTACTATAAGTGAACATTAAGCGTGGTGCCTGTCATGAGTAAGTGGTTAACATAGCAGTGGCTATATTTGTAATAGTGTTATGGCTATTATTATAATTATTTTCTTATTATTTCATAGGTAGGGGTCAATCCTACCAGCATCGACTCAATCATAATTGGGAAGGACCAAGAGGTAAAGCTGCAGCCTGGCCAGGTTCTCCACATGGTGAATGAACTTTATCCATATATTGTAGAGTTTGAGGAAGAGGCAAAGAGCCCTGGCCTGGTAACACATAGGAAGAGAAAGAGGTCCAGCAGCAATGATTCCATAGGAAGGGATGCTGCCCAGGAAGCTGAGCTGAGCACAGGACTGGAATCTGGGAGTCACCCTAGCCAGTGCTCCGTACCCCCAAACAAGGGGACAGATGCATCTACCAAAAAGGTGAGGGTAGTGTATATAATAGACAATGTGGAGATTAAATGAAATATAACGACTGCTTAATTGTTTAGTACACTGTAAAGCTCAGACATGCATAAAGGGTTATTTATTAACCAAGACAAGGGTTATTAACCATGATTAAAGAGACACTTGTTTGTGTTACCAGTCACTTGGATGAATGTTGCTTTATATACTTTTCTCTTGAATTCCTGAGGTAAGCCACTTGAAGGTAGGGCATTATGGTAGTGTACTTAATATTGAGCTACTAAAATGGTATATCTAGAAGGTTAGCTTTGGAACACTTTTAATAGGTCATGGTTCACATCCTGATGTCAGCATGGAAACCTAGTCAGGCTGAGATGGAATGGGAGAGGGCAGAAGAGGATGTGATTCACACTCTGGCATTTCTAGTCTCTGTCTAGACATGCAGCTCTAAATAAAGGAAGAAAATGGGGATGGCTTATAGTTACAAAGGCAAAAGATTGAAATAAAGAGGATAATTTTTAAAAACCTTATTTCTAAGTTTGGTTGGACTTCGCTGACATGTAATGTTAATTAATGCCAAGTTTAACTATTGCCATTTACAGTTTACATTGCCCGCCCTCCCCCCTTTTTTTTAAGGAATATTCAAGCCACTGGAGTCAAGGCTTGAAGATTTCTATGCAGGACCCCCAAATGCAGGTCAGAATAAAATTTCGGCATTGAAGTTCATTTCATGTCTTAATTGACTTACACAGAGGTCATAACTACAAATGAACTCAAAGGAGATCAGTCCTTTTGAATGAGATTCGTTTTATTGGGCTATTTTGTGAGAATAAGTGGCTTTTCCCATTGTCAGTAAGTGAGCACCTGGAATTCTTTGGAGAGAAACTAAGTTCTTAAAATGAATATCTCCTTTGTCTTGTTTGTTTTAAACTTCTGGATACAATTAAGGGATGTTTTGTTAACCTTACTATGGTCCCTTTCAAGGGACCATCAGATAATGTATTTTCACTGTAGTCACTGGGCAACCTTGGGCTTAATAGTCAGGCATCATCCTGGGAGGAGTCTTTTTGTTCTTTTTAAATTACATCCTGGGGTGACAAGGAGCTAGATCTGATAGGGTTTCTTGGAACACATGTCCATATGTCATATGGTCTGCTGTGGTAGAGTGGAGATTCCTACAGGGATTTCACATTAGATCCTGAGGAACTACTTTGTACTGGGCATCTTCTGTGTATTCTGTGTAGTGTGGTAATTGAAGACACACATTAGAGTCAACTTGATCTGGGTTGGAATCCTAGATTTCCTACTTAGTAACTACGTGACTTTGTGCAAGACATCTTATCTGAGTCTCTGTGCTCTCATCTGTCAAAATTGTACTTTTATCTACTAAAATCTTTTGTAGAAGACTGTGGTGAGAATTAAGTGAGTTAATGAATATGACAGCACCTGGCACACTGAAAATGCATGGTAGATGTCTGTTTCCTTCTCTGCCCCTCTGCTAGGTTTACAAAGATGAGCAGGTGGTGGTGATTAAGGATAAATACCCCAAGGCTCGTCACCACTGGCTGGTCTTACCATGGGCCTCCATTTCCAGTCTGAAGGCTGTGACCAGGGAACACCTTGAGCTCCTCAAACACATGCATGCTGTGGGGGAAAAGGTGATTGCAGATGCTGCTGGGTCCAGCAAACTGCGCTTCCGATTGGGCTATCATGCCATTCCCAGCATGAGGTGAGTCTTGTGGGTAGTTCTGGTGCATCCTGGTTCTGTCTAGCTGCACAGATGGATTCAGCCTGGGTCTGCAGAGTGTGCTCATAGCCCTGAGGCCCAAGGGAGTAGGATGTGCTGTTTCCAAGGCAGGCGGGCTGAAACTTCCGCACTTCTTCTTGACTTGCTTATAAGCCTTGAGTTTCTACTTTTGCTTATAATTCAATCACACATGTATTTTTGTTCCTTTCAAAGTATAAACCTCTGAGAGCCTAACCTTAAAACTAGATGAAGCAACTTTATTACCCTCAGATGAAGAATTGTGATTAGTGATTTTTCAGAAGCCTGTATAACCCCTAAATGATTAAGGACCATTCTCTGAAGGAGACAAACATCACTGATTTCTGTCATGACAGCTTAGTAGGTCTAAGATTTAAAATAAAATAAGAGAAAAATGTAGAGCCTGTATACTCTTGGCTCATACCCAGAAGGATTCAAAAAGGAATGATTCTTTTCAAAGAATGCAAGCAAAGCAGATCTCCACAGTTCTTTAGAGCTAAACAACATAAGCAGATTAATTAGATTTCAGAGTTTTTATCGTGTGTGTGTGTGTGTGTGTGTGTGTGTGTGAGAGAGAGAGAGAGAGAGAGAGAGAGAGATAAAATATACATAACATAAAATTTGCCATTTTAACTGTTCTTAAGTGTACAGGTCAGTGGCATTAAATACATTGTTTTTTTTTAATTTTTCTACTTTTTTATTTAAAAAACATTTTTTTTTTTAGGCGAGGCAACCCTTGGTTGACCTCACAGATTGCAAGGACCTTGTCAGCTTACAATCTTTTATTTTTTATTTTTTACACCTACTGCACCTGAGCTTCCAAGATCAGAGGGGATTGGGCTTGTTCAGGGTGGCTTGGCCGTAGACTCAATATGTTTACATTGTTGCACAACCATCACCACCATCTGTTTTTTAAAACTTTATTTTCTCAGTCTGTCTTGTGTTCCCTCTTCTCCCCAGCTCCTTGAAACTACCATTCTACTTTCTGTTTCTGTGAATGTGACTGTTCTAGGTGCCTTATATAATTGGCATACAGTATCTATATCTTTTTGTGACTGGCTTATTTCACTTAGGATAATACCTTCAAGGTTCATCTGTATTATAGCAGGTATCAGAATTTCTTTTCTTTTTTTCTTTTTTAGGCCCCCAATATTCTTTACATTTTATTTAGGTGGTTAATTATGACTTAGATTACTGGCTCCTTTAATCTAATGAAATTTTTGTGCCACATTTTTGCCACATTAATACTCTAAGGTGAGGCATAACTTACATGGAATAAAATATATAAGATTTATCATTTGATCAATTTTGACAAATGTATATGCCATGTAACTATTACTCTGATCAAGATACAGAACATTTCGGAGAAAGGAAAGCCTATTCAATAAATGGTGCTGGGAAAACTGGAAAGCCACATGCAAAAGAATGAATTAGACTGCTGTTCAGTGCCATACACCAAAATTAACTCAAAATTAATCAAGGACCTGAATGTAAGACCTGAAACAATAAATTGCATAGAAGAAAACATAGGTACTAAACTCATGGACTTTGGATTTAGAGAGGAGTTTATGAATTTGACCTCAAAGGCAAAGAAAGTAAAAGCAAAAATAAATGAATGGGACTACATCAAACTAAAAAGCTTATGTACAGCAAAAGAAACCATCAACAACGCAGAGGCAACCATCCGAATGGGAGAATATGTTTGCAAGCATGCCTCTGATAAGGGCCTAATATCCAAAATATATAAAGAACTCATACAACTCAACAGTAAAAAAGCAAACAGTCCAGTCAAAAAATGGGCAGAGGACCTGAACAGACACTTTTCCTAAGAAGACAAACTCATGGCCAACAGACATGAAAAGATTATCAACTTCACTAGCTATTAGGGAAATGCAAATCAAAACCACAATGAGATACCACCTCATACGTGTTAGAATGACTATCATCAAAAGGACAAGTAATAGCAAGTGTTAGAGAGGATGCAGAGACAAGGAAACCCTCATACACTGCTGGTGGGACTGCACATTGGTATAACCACTATGAAAGACAGTATGGAGGTTCCTCAGAAAACTAAGAATTGAATTACTGAATTACCATATGACCCAGCAATCCCATTTCTGGGTTTTTACTCAAAAAACTTGAAAACATTTATCTACAAAGATATATGCACTCTGATGTTCATAGCAGCATTATTCATGGTGGCCAGGACATGGAAGCAACTAAAGTATCCTATAATAGATGATTTGATAAAGAAGATGTACAGATATACAATGGGATATTACTTAGCTCTAAGGAGAGATTAAATACTGCCAATTGTGACAACATGGATGGATCTTGAGATAATCATGCTAAGCAAAATAAGCCAGACAGAAAAAGTTGAGAACCATATGATTTCACTCATATGTAGGATATAAAACTGAAAGCAACAAAACAAAGCTGACAAAGACTCATGGACACAGATAGTGGATTAGTGGTTGCTAGAGGGAAGAAAGGGAGGAGTGGGTAAAAGGGGTTGAATATTTGGTGATGGAAGGAAATTTAACTTTGGATGGTGAACACACAGTGCAATATACATAAGATGTATTGTTGAATTGTACACATGAAATTTGATTTTATTAACCAATGTCATGCCAATAATTTTTTTTAAAAATAGCTATTTATTATTAATTTTTTTATGGTGACATTGGTTAACGAAATCCAATGAGTTTCAGCTGTACACTCTAACAGTAAAGCATATATGTATTTACACTGTGTGTTCACCTCCCATAGTTAGATTTCTTTGACCTTCTTTACCCCGTCTACCTTCCCCACTCCCCACAGCCCAGTAGTTTTAATAAAAGATACTAAACATTTCTATCATCTTTATCTCAGAAAGTTTCCTTGTTAATCCTCCCCTCAACCTCCAAGTGTTTGTGATTTCTTTCAACATAGATTGGTTTTGTCTGTTCTAGAACTTCCTGTAAATGGAATCATACAATGTGTACTCTGTTTTCGTCTGGTTTTTTTTTGGTCAGCATAATGATTTTGAGATTGATGCATATTGTGTGTATCAAGGACATAATTTATTTTTTTGCTCTTGGGTAAATACCTAGAAGTGGAATTGCTAGGTCATAGGGTAGATGTATGTTTTACCTCATTTAAAAAATTATATTTATCGTTAAAACTTTATTCAAAAATTTAGGACAAAAAGTCACCCCTAATCCTGTTTCCCTAAAGCTGCAGAGCCTGTGACTAACAGAGCCCTTGACTACAGAGCTTTTTTCACATAGTGATCATGGTGTCCATGCCTTTTTCATATAATAAATGCTGTTGTGCTAAGAAGTATGCTAAAAACAAGAGCTGTGGCAGGTGAGGGTGGGAAACAAAATGAGCACTAAGTGAAGTCACATATCCTTTTATGATCACTCTTTATGATATAATTTTGAATAAATAACAGAAAAAGTAAATAATTTCTTCTATTATAAAAGTAATATATTTTCAATTTAGAAAATATAAAAAGGAAAGTATGAAGCAAAACAGAAATCTTCCATAACTACTAATTAAACTCTGTACCTTATTTGAATTTCACCCATTTTTTAAATAATCTTTTCCTGCTCCAGGATCCAATCTAGGATCCTGCATTGCATTTATTTATTGTCTCTCCTTAGTCTCCCCTGATCTGTGATAGTTCCTCCTCCTCTATGACACTTTTCATGAGTTTAGGTTTATCTGATGTTTTTTCATGATTAGATTTGAGGTTATGCTTTTTTCTTTTTCTTTTTTTGCCAAAATGCCGCAGAAGTGATGTATCCTTTTCAGTGTATCATATCAAGGAATGCATGATGTTAAGTTGGTTTATTACTCATGATGTAACCTTGGTCATATTGTTAAGGTGGTGTCTATCTGTTTTCTCTACTCAAAGTTACCATTTTTCCTTTGTAACTGATGAATATCTTGAATATTTTGTGACTATGCTATTATCCTTTTCTCAAAGTATGCCCAGTGATTTTATCATCTCTGTGGTAGATCTTGCCTGCAACAGTTATTACTACGGTGTTTACCTAACGGTGATTTTATGTTTCCCTCATCCCTTTTAATTTATTAATTAGAATTCTTCTTTATGCAAAAGCCTTTCCTTCTCCCCATTGTGTATTTGTTCTATTATTTATCAGTATGGACTCATAGATATTTTTATTTTGTAGGTTTTAATTCAGTCTATCATTTATTTTGTTTCTCAGATCGTTCCAGCTTTGGTCATTGGAAGCTACTGTAGGTTGGCTCCTGTATCAGTTTGGGTTTGCCCCCAACATTTTTTGAGCCCGTCCTTATTTTCTGGCCCCTTATTTTCTGGAACAAGATGTACCAGGCTCATCTTATATTTTCTTTGTTCTGGCCCTCTGAAGAGCCCTAGTTCTTTTATTGGAGAATGATATTTATAAACCAAGACTTGGGCACTAGGTTTCTGTAGTGTTGATTCTAGGGTGTCTTTGCTCCTTAGTCTTCTCAGCAGATAGAGGTAGGAAATAAATGCATGAATCCTAACCCACACCGATAACACACATCTTTCCATTTATTTACCTGTGTATGTGGAAAACCATGAGTTCATACTGATACCTCTGATTCCAGACCAGCTCCACAAGGTTCATTCTTGTTTCCCTCCTTTTTTTTTTTTATTGTAACATCTTTCTTTGACAGTGAGAAATCTGGCTTTCATTAGCTACAATAAATTTACTTATTTGTTCAATCCTAGTACGGTTGACCCTTGAACAACACGGGTTTGAACTGTGCAGGTCCACTTATGTGTAGATTTTTTTCAATAAATACATATAATACTATAAATGTATTTTCCTTATGATTTTCTTAACATTTTCTTAGCTCTAGCTTTTTTTTTTTTCCCTAAGAATACAGTATATAGTGCATATAACATACAAAATATGTGTTAACTGTGGTATTGATAAGGCTTCTGGCTATTAGTAGTTAAGTTTTGGGGGAGTAAAAAATTATAGGCATATTTTCAACTGAGGGGGGGGATTAGTGCCCTTAACCTCTGTATTGTTCAAAGGTCAACTGTATACATATGAAATACTTACAGAATTGCTGACCCATACCTTTGTGAGAAAGACTTACTCACTAGAGCACAGTGTTTGTATACAGTTCTTTTTATCTTTACAGTATTCAGCAAAAATAATTAGGTTAGTTATTTTCTTCCTGACCCCCTTCAGTATGGTTCTTATATTCATGTAATACAATTAGGTTTGTTACTGCTTATATTCCATTTTAGATTCCCATATGTACTGATAGGTTTTGATTATTTATTGGGGGAATGTAAAGTGTTACTGATTCTAAGAGTCAAAGTTACACATAGAGGCATCCAAAAGAGAGCTCTTGATTTTCTTCCCCAAACCTGCTTTTCCCCTAAGCTTCTCCATCTTAGTAGGTGGCACCTCCCCAAACCCACAGCCAATCCATTAGTAAGTCCTGTTCTATTCCAAAATATATTCAAAATTGGATTGTTCCTTGCCATCTCAACTACTATAGCTCTAGTTTAAGCTGTGATTATTTCTGGCCTGGACTGCTGTGGTAGCCTCCCAGCTGGTCTCTCTATCCATCCATCTTGACCCCTCTCTACAGTCCTTTCTCCACACAGCAGCCAGAGACATCCTTTAAAAGTGTAAGTCAGATAATAGCCTTCCCCCACTTAAAATCCTTCCATGACTCTCCAGTGTAATCAGAATATAATGCAAACCTCTTGCTGACCTCTAAGACCCTCCTTAGCTCCAACTGTTTCAACCGTATTATCTTCTTTATGTTTCTTGGTTTTACTAAACTCGTTCTCATCTCAGGGCCTTTGCACTTGGCCTCCCCACTGTACTTGGCCCCTCACTCCCTGAAACCCTCTTTCCCCAGATCTTTGTTTGCCTGGCTACTTTCTCGCACCAAATCACTGTCTGGGACAGGCCTTCCCCAAACACCTTAGCTAAAGAGTCAGCCTCCACCCCCTGGGCACTCTATCCCATTTCCCTGTTTTATTTTTTTTCTTAGCAATGTTAATGATTGGAATTTTCTTGTTTATTTGTCATATTTTATTTGTCTCTCCCAATTGGAATGTAATTTCTGTAAGGGCAGAGGCCTTTCCCATTTTGTTCACTGCTAAATTCCCAGTGCTAGAACAGTGCTTGGCTCTAGTAGGTAATTAAGGAACGTTAAATATTCTTAAGTGAATGAATTGAATTAAATGGAAACACTGTCAATCTTTTACATACTCATACTTTTACTGTTTGCCATTTTGATTCTGCCTTAGTTTTTAATGCATTTAATCATCAGTTTTTTTCCCCCTCTCAACTAGCCATGTACATCTTCATGTGATCAGCCAGGATTTTGATTCTCCTTGTCTTAAAAACAAAAAACATTGGAATTCTTTCAATACAGATTACTTCCTAGAGTCACAAGGTAAACAGTGTTCTTTGGTTTTTACATTTGTTTCATTTTCTTATCTTTTCTTCTTCTTGATTCAGTTATTTCCGTACATAATAACCTAACAAAAACCCATGTATAACTGTGTCCCCTAGAAAGAGAGCCCCATTAAAAGCAACTGGATTATTTGGATTGTAATAGGATTGACACTGCTGTGAGCAGCCTTCTTGGGGGACCTATAAAGTTGTTAAATCAGGGTCATTTTGTCAGAGTGTTTTATTATAACAAGAGGGGACTTAAAAATTGTCCTGAGAATTATTGGAGTTCATAGATATGAAATCTCTGAACATTTCTTTGTCTTTTCTGCCATCAGTTGGGCAGAAGCTTGGGGGTTGCCCTGTGTTAACAAGAGAAAGCTGTGTACATAAAAGGAAGCATTCCCTGATGTGTATGTTGTGAAACTTCAGTGTGCCAGGTTGTTAACAATGACAGTTACCATTGACCAAGGACCAACCAGGGGTAAAGCACTGTGAGAAACCTTTGACATAGTAACATGGATTGCTTAAAGTGTATCTCAAAGGAATGTAATCATCTCAAAAATAGGTTCCTCAAATTTAGAATCCAAAGCCCATTTAGAAGCCCATTTCCCCAATGGTGAGTCTAACCTCAAATTTACTAGCTTTAGATACCTGGCATATTTTTATTTGGAGTTAGATTTCCTTTATTTTATTTTATATTTTAATTTTTATGTCTTATATTGGCTTTCCAGAGTAGCAGGGCTCTGAACTTTTTTTCCTTGTTTGCAGCTGTGATGGAGATGGTACAAGAAGCTGGCAGAGTGACTGTCCGAGATGGGATGCCTGAGCTCTTGAAGTTGCCCCTCCGTTGTCACGAGTGCCAGCAGTTGCTGCCTTCCATTCCTCAGCTGAAAGAACATCTCAGGAAGCACTGGCCAAAGTGATTCTGTGGAGTTTGAACTTTGCACCAAGTATGGCTGATTGTTTAGAGCAAACTCCTGGCACCTGTTCTGGATTGCTTGTGAACTTTTACTTATTTCTTGAATTAAAACATGCAGGTTTTTTTTTTTTTTTTAAAAAAACAAAGCTTGTTCTATTCCTGAGTAGCTACAATGTGGGGTGACTTGAAACAGTTCAGGAATTAGGAATTTGGGTTTGTCATGAATGGTTGGTGAGGGCGGCTGGGACAGGCCTGACCACCATCTCCAGGATCCACGTCAGGTCTGGTGAATGGGAGCCAAGCCATGTTCACACTGACCTAGTATAGGATATGGAAGCAGAGGGCAGGCTATATATTTCTGTTTCTTATATTTATCCTCCCTCCCTAGAGGCATGTGATACCATTTCATCAGAGCAGTCAGAGGGGTCTCTTGTTTATCCCAAAGGTACTAATTCATCTTCTATAAGCTTAATCTGTTCTGTAATATTCTTTCTC